CCCCTCGGGGCCCGCCTGCCACCCGCCAGCCACAGGCACCTGTCAGGCTATATTAAGAGACATTGTCACAGCTGAGGACTCTCCTTCATGGGAAGACCTGCCCTTCCTCCTAACGACATTCACCGCTCTTTCACACTGTCCTCCTCTTCACCTTCCCCAGCCTGTGCTCAGAATGAAATGGGCTAATGGCATGTACTGTGCCTGATTAAAAGCAGGTGCTCAAGAGCATGTTTCTCCCAGCCCCTCTTCATTTTGTGTTATGTTCATCTCTGCCGCTCACCTCCCAGTGCCCCGCCTTCCCAGCCCCCTCTTTTTAGTCTCCATGCTGTGAGTTCATTCCTTTTTTTCTCTGATCATTCTTAAATTTGCCAATTCTCAGAGACCAGGCACCTGCTCTAATCCCCAGGCATTCTCCCAGCTAAGGAGGGAGGATGGGAAGTGCTGAGAGTAGGGAAAGAAGGAAGGCAATGCAGGCACCCTGCCATCGTGTGGCCTGTCTCAGAATTGCATTCAATCCTGCACTTTGTTTAAGTGCCTAACCTTTGTTTAAGAAAGGAGATGAAGAAGAAACTTCCTCCCCCACCTCGTACATGACCAAGCCCAAGTGAAGGCAACAAACAGACCTAGACCCTAGGCAGCCCCTGGGTCCTGGTGTACGTCACGTGCACTGTGGCCCAGGGAAGACCTCTGGGTTGGAGAAGGGAGAAACAGCCTTGGAAAGTCAGTTCTATTTCTGTCTACCCTGCCTTTCCTCAACTGCCAGCCAGAACAATTGTGCACAGTCTGTATGCAGCTCTGGCTTGGGACAAGTCGTTCTCTGCCTGAAGTGGGGTTGGGTGGTAGAACAGGAACTCACAGTGGGAATTGCCCCTCTTGTCATCAGTCCAGTCTCCTGCTCTCTCACTAAGCTCTTCCTAGCTTTTTCTTTGTTTTTATTTTCTGTTTGTTTGTTTGTTGTTTTGGGGGGGTTGGTCTTGTTTATCAAGACAGGCTTTCTCTGTGTAGCTTTGGAATCTGCCCTGGAACTCACTCTGTAGACCAGGCTGGCCTCGAACTCACAAAGATCTACCTGCCTCTGCCTTCCAAGTGCTGGGATTAAGTGTTTGCCACCATTGCCCTGCCCTGCCTAACTTCTTAAACTTGCTTCATAGATAGCCCTTCAACAGGAAGAAAGAATAGACCCCAAGTCTTAGGGGAGAGGTTAAGAGGCATTAAATGGCAGCTACCACAAGACCCTGAATGTCTGCTACTTACTTGCCCTCTCTAATGAAACCCAAACCTGTCCTTGTGGTTCCATGAAATAAGAGGACAATTTAGACCCAGGTTCCCTAGGTCAATTGAAATTTTAGATAAAAGGCCTCAAAGGAGAATAACAATATAGCCTAGTGCTAGAGTACTTGCCCAAAGTGCACAAAGCCCTAGGTTCCCACAAGCACTAAATAAACAAGTAAATAAGTCTCAATGAGAGGGGCCCTACCCATGTCCTGGGCTCCATCCGTGAATCTACATATTTTAGATCAATCTGTGTTAATCCCCTCCCCCATATTTCCCACTACTCCCTCACACACCTACCATGAAAGCACCATCAAGACATCCGAGTCCCTTAGATGAGACCCAACTCCAGAGAGAGCATCTGGAGCCATCCCTTCCAGGGTGCCAGCCCACTGATGTGTGGTGGTTGCTCCACATTAGATGTGGGATGTAGGGTTGGTGTGGTGTAACTCTGGAGAGGCTAGTCCATTATAGTCTATGTCTGTACAATATGTGAATGACAGTCCCCGAAGCAGTGTAACACAGGATCAGAGTGTGGAAATAAAGTAATTGATTTTTTTTTTTCTAGGAAAATAGTTCCTCATTTCCATGTCAGTGAGCTTTCTTGTTTTTTGAGACCTCTTGATTTCCTGTTGGAGTCTAAGTTTGGGGAAGATGAAGCAGAATCAAAACTGGGTTCCTCTTAGATTGTATCCATACTTCATTTAGGACAGGTCACTTACTAGCCCCCTCTGTGGTCAAACCCTGTTTGTCTCTAGTCCTGTGTGTCTTGGGAAGTAAACAGAGATTTGGGAGTCTGGTATAGCCTGTCATGTGATATGAGGCCAGCTGCCCTAGCTTTTATGAGGCATGTTTGGACTGAGTAAGTGGTAATAATTACATAACAGAAGCCATCTCCTAAGTCCCCTAATCTTAGCTTTTCCACTTATTGGTTAACTAGCTTGATGGAATCTAAAGATGCAGGTTGTTTGGGTTTGTTTTTTGAAACAACTAGACTGGCCTGAAACTCTCAGTCCCCTTTCCAGTCCTTTGAGTATTGAGATTACAGACATGCACCACCATGCCCAGATACACATTCCTAAATATGTAGTTAACTGAGTGAATATTAATCTGTCCAAAAGTTTTCTGTTAGTCTAGCCCTCTCTGTGGGAATGAAAGATTGCTCCTTTATCTAGGCCCATGAACTGGCAGCTTATTGGGCAGGGGAAAGAGACTGGGATGGGGCCAAGATGGGCCACACTGCCCCTAACTTCTCCTCCCCTTTAGGCCTCAAGACCGGCGGTGGTACAGCAGGTGGCTCCAGTGGCTCCTTTCACTACACCTTTCATGGGGACCCTCATGCCACCTTTGCTTCCTTCTTTGGTGGCTCCAACCCCTTCGATATCTTCTTTGCCAGCAGCCGTTCCACTCGGCCCTTCAGTGGCTTTGACCCAGATGACATGGATGTGGATGAAGATGAGGACCCATTTGGTGCATTTGGTCGTTTTGGCTTCAATGGGCTGAGCAGGGGCCCAAGGCGAGCCCCAGAATCACTGTACCCTCGGCGCAAGGTGCAGGACCCCCCTGTGGTGCATGAGCTT